TCCCTCCCTCCCTCAGTCTCTCTCTCTTCTCCTCCCTCCCACAACTCACCTTCATGGACTAACTTTTACTCAGTCTTCATATTTTGGCTTGGACAGCAAGTCTTCCATTAGACCTTTTCTTATCTCCTGTGGTTCAAACCTCTGGGGCAGCTTTCCTTTTTCCTCCAAGCTCTCAGAAGCAGTCCACTGTCACTTTCACTAATGGTTTCTGTGCTGTGCTGTGTCCTGAGCTAGTGATCTTGCCGGCAGTTCTCTGACACTGATTAATTGCGGTGAAACTTACTAAATGAATGGATGAGTGAGTAAATGAATGGATGAATGGATGAATGAGAGAATGACATAATCAAACAGTGCCTGTGTGAAGTAAGCCGTCTCACCTTTGAGTCTCACTGTCAAGGCTGTCTGCTCAGTCTTTCCTATGCAGAAGAGAATGGACTTCCAGGACACCTTGCAGCTGTGTGGCCTCCAACCTAATCCTTACCTAATTAGGACACTTTTATTAACAGGGGAGACACCTTCCTTGAGCCCCCCAAGAATAAGGATTGTGTGTGTTAGCTCTGTGCCTCCATCTGGCTTGGATGCAGTCACTGCTCAAACCACATGGCTCGTGCGAATGACCTCGCCAGGACTTTCCTCTCAGCTGTCTCCCAGGCTTACAGAACTCCACCTGCAGTCAACCTGCCACCAAGGTATAATCTTTGCTCCAACATGCCTCTAGGGCCTTGTCTGTTTCCCTGTGTTTATTTGGCTCATGAATAACAATCTGAAATAATTTCAATATTAGCAAACTTTTATTTCTAGCTAGTTTTGGAAAGGAATAAATCACAAAAACAACACAAAAATTATGCAGAAAATGAAGACATACTATACCACCATTACCTTGGCAGGCATTTTGTTAATAATTGTTATAATCAATAATAGAATGTCCCTGTTTTACAATATACATATATATTATGTATATATATATATTAGATATGTATACTTCAATAGAAAGAGACATAAAAAAGCCTTTTCAAATGAGGCATGACACGCAACACTGGACTCTTATTTACAATATAGAGATGTACTTTCTACATAATTATAATAGATGCTCAGAGGCCAGAAAGGGTTTACAAAGACAGCAGGACACCCCTATAAAAAACAGGTGCATCATGCAGCTGGACATTTATTGCCATTAGTTCTCACTGTGTCCAGACAGCATATTGAAGGTAAAAATGGCATCTGGCTATTGGAAAGGGACATGATCACCAGATTCATCCACACTCTAAAACCGCTGGCTACGTGGTCTTAGAAATGACCAGGGAATAACACAGGTTGCTGATGGGAACTGGAAACTCAACGTGGAACGTGCCCTCCTAAGGGGGTGCACTGCAGTTATAGCTCTTAAAGAAAAGCTACCACCAGCCTGTGGTCCTGCCTGGGCACAAGCATGCATCTAGCAGAAAACATCCCAGCATGAGCCGCACAACCAAAAGCAGGTGTCTGCTGGCTATAGTGTGAATGCATCATTGCTCATGAGGACTGTAGTCTACACCAGCCCCGGGTCAAGCACTCAGGAGAAACACTCAGTGGGAAAGTGACCAGAGGAAGCAGCTAAGCCATGTGTTAAGACCTCGGAGGATTCCAATCTCTGGAGGGCGCGAGTCCACCTTTGCAAAACCCTCACAGCCTTCCACCAACTCTTTTTTGTATGAAACACACAAGTCTACTCTCCCATAAAGTTGCCTGATCTGACCCTTTATGGTCTGCACTTACTGTGCAAGAATCTAATACCATCAAATGACCCACAATTCACTTGGCCTTGTTGCACGGCATTAGTGGCCAGCCATGCTGCTTCATTAAATAAGTCCCCATGCTTCCATCTCCAAAAGATTCCTCTCCTGTGTTGTTTATCCTGACAGCCCTAGTTCATGTTTTCCTTGCTTACAACTACATGACTTGATCCTCCTTTAGCCTATGCACAGTACTCAGTCTTTGAGGTCCTATTACATGTCCTGCTCATTTCCTATGCTTTCACCCTTCTGCTTGACTTCTGGTGCTGAAGCCCTCAAAGCCACTGTGTTCCCATGAGTTGTTCCCCAACACTAATTTGAGTTGACTCTTCAGTCTGGCTCTTGTTCTCCCATCTGATCTCATTTTTGTCCCCATTTTCTAGCAGGTTTTATTAATGGTGACCATCCCTAGCCCTTTATTTTCCTAAGGCAATTAAACATCTCTATTGTAAGATAACCAGCACCCTTCTGAGAGCTCCCCTGAGGTTTTTATGCAGCACTCCTCCATTCAGTGGTCTTGCTCCTTTCAGGGAGAGGAGAAGCAGCTGGCCATGTTAATGGTTGAAACTTTTTGCAATGGCATCCAGCGCTAACACAGCATTTCTTTGGAAGTGTATCAGCCGGAATTTCACCCATGCATGCATAATCTTCGTGCCCCCTTCTGCTAAGTATAGTCTCATTCATGTTCTCTAGTATGGATGGAATGGAAAGCAATCACAAAAATAATTTGTGAGCCAGCCTATGCATAGAAAAAGTTTGAGGAAAAAAGTAGAGCAAGTAGTCCAATATATTCCCTATTATCGTTCTCTGCAACGCAATTGTATTTATTAACAGCATTGCACTTACCCCTCCTGACTTTAAGCCAACCCAGCCACTGTCACTATGAAATAATATGGGGGTTTATCACTCATTCCTTTGCACTTGTTTAGAAAACATGAAGAGATGTGGAAATGGTTGTCATTTTTCTTTTAACAAATGGCACATTTAAATCTAATAAGGACACTACTTACACAAATATGTTTCACTTCTGCACAGAGGATAACCTGAGTTCTGAAATGCTTGTGTGCACTTAATTTAATTTAAAAATGATAAAGCTATGACCTAGTAAGATATAGGATGAATCTAGTTAAGTTGATGTGATCTCTGTGAGCTGTGATTAAAAAGGTGGGCTCACTAGTTCCAAGTATTCTGTTTCTTTATTTTCCCAAATTTTTTCCTAGAAAATATCCTGAATGAGAGCCCAGGCAGCCAGACAAATTCAAGCCAAGGTCTTTGTCTTTGACACTACATGTTCAGAATGTTTTTACATCTCTAAAGGAAAAGGGCTGTGGTCCAGCCTCCCCTCAGCCTCCATCCCTCCCTGACATCCTCCATCTGCTGGACCCCAAAGAGAAGAGGACTACCAATCCTGTCTCCACTAGAGAACTCAATAGACTTTACACCTTTCTGGAAAGTTCTCCAAGGCCTGCCTCCTCACAGCCACTACTTGAAGTAGTTGAGTCCAGCCACTAAGAAGAACTTCTCCAGGAACAGTTCTGAGTCCAGTACAGCGATGTGTGCGGCACGGCCAATTAGGGTGTTGGCAGTGTTGGGCAGGGCATGAAACACATTGTGTCGGATTAAAGTACAGTCCTTGGCAGCCACCAGGGGACCCAGGAGGTTGTTGATCATCTCTGCATAAACTGGTCCTAGAAGGAGGAGGGATGAGAAAGCAGTGCAGAGGTTAGCCATGGGGTTTAGAGCAAAACCCTTGATGCCCAAGAGGATGCTACCTGGGGCAGATCATTAGGGACCACTTTCTGACCTTCTCCTTATATTTTTAAATGAAATAAGAAATAAAATCAAGCTTCAAATTCTTGTCAGGTCAAATTATAATATGTGAGAGTGAAAAGGGGACCCAGCAACAGCTGAAGTGGGGAGGGCTCCTAATGGGGTGCTGCCTGCTCAGTGGAGACTGGGGCAAAGGAGGAGCTAATGAAGAGGACTTCAGAGGTTCAAGCTCCACTTCAGGAGGCCACACGTGCTGGAACACATCCCAAGGGAGATGGAAGCAGGCGGCCCTGACATTGCATATCACACAAATCAAGCAGCACTCCTCTGCTGCCTTGATAATGTGAGCCAGGGTGAAGGAGCAGGAAGCACATGGTGATGCTTTGTTTAATTTTTCTACTGAGTCTAAACAGACTGTGCCTCCAGTGGACAAATGACTCCATTGCAATTTTGCTTCAGACAATGTGGGCCTTGGAGCCAGGGAGTGACAAAGAGTCATGAGCCAATAATTAAGTCTGCACACCTGAGTCTACAGGAATTCACATCTCCCGGACTTGGGTTCTGCCTTTCTGCAACATTGTTCATGGCGACTTTTGCATCATGTAAAGGTGTCTTCTGGGACGATCTGAAGGGCTAGGACATTTTACTTCTGATAGTAACCAGCATTGGTAACAGAATCTTCTGTGGGCCTCACTCCAAATTGCAAGCTCTGTTTCATAAAGCCAGTGTGGCCCCTACAACTCACACAGTGAGAGGGAGAGCTGAGCACACCACTCTCAAGCCAGGGCCTCCTCCTTACCCTTGCCCCCTATGGGAATAAGCCACACTGTCTTCCTTTAACCCCCAGTTAGTAGCAGGGGAAGTGATTTGGGGCTCTGCTTTCCAAGGCCAAGAAGGGCAATGGATGCCCCGAATTTTAGGAAAAATTACTACTCCTTTTTGTTAGGCTTCCTCAGTGTCCTAACAGGAGTTTTGAAGCAAAGTGAACTGTAAATTGCAATAATTAGGGATTTTTTGTGGAAAATCTCTGTCCTGGCCTTGTTAGCCAAGTTGAAAAAATGAGGAGGCATTACAATAAATGCTATGCATATATATAAAGATAGGCTAGATACACAGCTACTTTCTCTTAGTTCACTGAGAAGAAAGGTGTGTACTAACAGTGTTTAGACAAGATATCATGTCTGCATCTTATCCTCTGAATAACTACTATGAAACAACAATATGCAATGTATTAATTATTGTGACTGTTCTACTAACCTGTTTTGAAACCATTTCATTGCTATTTGATCATTTTTACTCATTTAAATAAATAAAATATTTAAAAAATGCTATGATTCTTGCAAGTGTATATGGCCATGTTTGGATAGTGGTCTTTACAGTAGGTAACAGCATGTGAAATGTTACCATGCTGTAAAAACTCAATGCCTACAGCGTAGCCTGGAGGGAAAATGGAAATCGGCCAAAGTTCAGCATCAGAGGTCAAACAAGCAATGATTCAGGGACCAGCCCAATGATTTGTGCCCCTATCAAACAATGTATAGGAACACAATGTAATATCAAAAATATGATATGAGGGCTGGGGTGATGGCTCAGTAGAATAAGTGCTTGCCTGGCAAACACAAGGGCCTGAGTTCAATCCCTGGTTCCGTAAAAAATAAATAAATTAATAAAT